GCTTTCCAGTAGCATTCTCAGGTCCGATGTGGTCTGCAGTTAATTCCTCGACCCCGTATTCTCTCCTCCAGGCCAGAGTTTCTTGCAGACGCTTCTCTGCGTCCTTTTCATGCCACTTGGTAGCTCTTAGGTATCTTAGCAGACACTCTCTCGTGAGCCACATCTTCTCGCCATCGGTCAAGGGACCGCTCTTCTCTTTAGATTGAACTTCCGTCCATTCCTTCACGCGGCTTAGAAGCCAGTCATACTTGGTTGTCTGGTCGGCAGTAAGAGCCGGCTTCTCAGGTACGGTGCTACTTGCTGTGGGAGCCGAAAGTGGCGTCCTAAGTATGCCAACCTCGTTCTTCTCTTCGAGGGCCGAAGGCTCGGAACTTCCAGGAGCCGTTGCTGTGCTAGACGTAGACATTTTGATCCGTAATATTGATAATACCAATCTCTACTTAATCCAAGACTCGACGACGCGCTTTTCTAACTTATCCGCGTAAAAGTTATTTGCGTTAAGTGAGTTGTTGGGTTACCGGTGGCTTGTGCTTTGAGCCAAGCTGATAGCTCCCAAGTTAGACTTGAGCTCAGGTACCTGAAGCTACGTCCAACCAATCGGGACCGCCTATGGTGGACCATTAGTGCAACTGTGCCAAAATCAAGAAAATTGGTGGCACTATGTCTAATAGGGTAATAATAACGTTAGGGGTACAGTGTAGGCTCGATTATTTGCCCTGTATACACAATTTACAAGGTAATATATATCCCTTTTGAACTTAATAGTATGATAACTTTACGAATATTTATCCAAGTCTTTTTTAAAAGATATTAATATTTCGATTAATAAATAATAAAAATTATGGTTCAGGTTGCATGCTATTTGATCTAATATTGGTAAAGATATTAAAAAGGCTATAAACGTAGCTATACGGGCCACCTTCTCAAAAGGTTTAAAAGATTAGCCAATCAGATTGAATTGTCAATCCAATGTTCAATTGCTTCATATCCACGTATAAACAATAAACACATTCAAATAACTTTACAAAGATAACAATCCAAACGTTATAATTGATATCATTTCAAAGCCTTAATTAATGCGAAAATAATGATTCAAGTTGCATTTGAATCGGCCTTTTGGCTGTTATGTTGTAATAGAATCAAATAGCGCTTGTCTACCTAGAGAGGCAAGCACGTGATACCTTTTAAAAGCACCTCGATAAAGTTGTTCCAAACAGACTCCAGATACTTTAATAGCAATATAATACTCAGTACATATCGCATAAACATGCACTTTGGTCCATTATTTTCGCATTAATTAAGGCTATAAAATAATACCAATCGTAACGTCTGGATTGTTGTTATTGTAAAGTTATTTGAATGTGTTGTATATTGTGTATAAGGCAATCCTTTATATTTTACCTTGTATATACCCCGCATAGTGTACTGTGCACTTAGCGTTCTTTGCTATATTACCCTTTTTGGAAAATTCCGACCTATTTTATTGATTTTGGCACAGTTGCACTAATGGTCCACCATACCGCCTCCTAATATTGCTTCTCAATCCACAATTTTCTGCCCTTTCTTGCTAGGAAATCACCAATCACAACACGTCCGTGATGGAGCAGGATAACGAACCACCTCAACAACAGTAAGACAGCAATCAATCGTCGGACTTATTCAGGAAGTTTATGATGATGAATTCATTTATGTCCAGTGGGCGTGCCAGGATTATTTGCCTAAAAGTCTATAGTTATACAGTATCCTTTTACACTTAGTTACACGATACGCGTCTATGGCGTGTGAGACGACTGTAGTAACCGATTAGATAAATTGCTCGAGAATTGTATAGGAATTTCCAAGGCCTCTAGTATGCCTAGCTTCCGCTTTAGATAATTGCGTTATAGCAAAGCCATTCCGGGGACAGTTTATAGACTGGAAATTCTGGTTATTTTTCGAACGTGTTTGCGAGTTCTCTAGGATTAGAATGCGACGGATTGTAGTTGTTATTGTAGTTGTAACTATGTTAGATAGTTAGTAGATTCGAAGAAGAAAATATGTTGTATTGTGTAAGGTTTCTAAAGTGGCACCCTGCCCTCAGGCTCTTAGATACCCCTCAATGCTTTACACATTCCTTTCAAGGTGGTACCTATCTAGGTAGGTATGTTCCGGTAAGTTAGGAAGGAAGAGTTGGGTTTTAGAAATGGTAGTTCGAGGCAGCCATTTTCAAGCACATGGAATATATCAGAAGGCACCGCTCTTGCTTCCCTACCTGTGTGCCTTCTACACTAGAACAGCAACCTGATTTAGTAAGAGCTAGAACCCCAGGCATCTTACAAACAGACCTTGGTAATACAATTGACCAAAGTTAAGTCTAAAGCCCGCTTTAGGGAGAAGTCACGTATTTAGAATCGGTATAGTACATGTAGTGAGTATAGGAAGCTTTTATGTTCTCCATTACGAGCAAGATATACATACGCATTCCTCTTTGGAAAGAAAGTGTGCCACCTTAAAATGGTATAAGGATTGCCAATTAGATCTAATGAGCAATGTATCTATGCCTCACTTGCAATTGAGGACATGGTATATACATGTATGTAGTTGAGCCCGAAGGTGAAAGGTAGAAGGGGAACTCCCACTAAAATTTAACAGGGGTAACTTTTGCACTTGTACCTAAGTACCGGGACCCACAAGCCACCAATAACTCGATAAACCACTTAACGCGAATAGCTTAAGACGCGTCTAAGTTAGAAAAAGCGCGTCGTGGAGTCTTAAATCAGTAAATTACCAGGAGAGACTGTGGCAATAATTTTCGTTGTTTGGTATCCAACAGCACAGCACAAATTGAGATCATACCCAATTGACCATGGCGGAGGCAGAATTAGTAGAGCTAAACGAGCAGTTCGGTGCGCCGAACAAGGAACTACAGCCCGATGTCGTCTCTGAGCTGCGATCCATCATGCGGATACATTCCCTGTCTGCTCAGGACTTATTTTTCAAGTGGGAGTCTTACTGCATAAAAATGGACATGGACGGGAACAATCTGTCCGTAGAAAGCTTGCGGGCCCTCAAACAAGACATCCAAGATGCCTTAGAGCGAAGCAATCGAACGCATCAGGTCCATATCAAGACGGAGAAGCGCTCAGCTGGAACACCGCGCAGCAATGTTAAGAGTGGCGGGGATGTCTACGGGATGTTAGAGGGAATGGTCCCTAGTACTCCAGCTACGGCGAAGTTGAACAAGAGCGCCTCCAAGAGTGCCGCTAAGAGACGAAATCAGCCCGATACCCCCTCGATGGCTCGGGAATTGGAGTCTCTAAATGTTAGCTCGTAAGTCACTATCAGGATACAATACCCGTATAACGAAGACTGAGAATTTGCAGAGCAACTTCCTTTAATGACCGCCAAAACCCAGGGGAGGTGATAGAGGTCCTTAATAACCATCTTAAACTCCCTGAGCCACCAATTGCACCGCATTCAGAATCGCGGATCAAATTGACCGCAGCTTCGGACATGAAAAAACTAGGTTACAAAACGCTCGCTATGAAATCTTCAGAAGCATCTGAGATTCTAGACGACCGGATAGACGAATTTCTAGGATTAATAAGAGATCACAAAAACATAGATGAGAGCGAATTCGGCAGTGCGGCCAGTCAAAGTACCACGGAAATTGTTGCTGTGGGCCGAATTGCGTCTGATTCTTCGGAAGGCAAGCTTAATGCAGCATCTCTTGTTTTAGAGACTTCGAGGCGGACCGGGGGAGGTCGAAGAATCCCCCTGAACTTACAAAAGCTTAATGGTCGCTATCAGTTTTTCCCAGGACAGATCGTCGCATTCAGAGGTATTAACTCATCCGGGAATGAATTCCTTGTCCAAGAAGTACTGGAAATGCCCCTATTGCCCAGCGCTGCATCTACGCCGGCCGGTATCGAGGCTCACCGGGAGAAACTTCGGGGTGGCCCAGACGCAATGGACTCGGGCGATGAGCCGGCACCGTTAAATATAATATTCGGCTCAGGTCCCTATTCAGCTGATGACAACCTCGACTTCGAGCCGCTTCACGCCCTCTGCAGCCAAGCGGCAGACACGTATGCCGACGCCCTCATCTTAACAGGACCGTTCATCGACGTCGACCACCCTTTGATTGCTACGGGCGACTTCGATCTCCCAGAAGACGCGGCTGTAGACCCAGACGCCGCAACAATGTCTACGGTTTTTAAGTACATGATTTCTCCAGCCCTGAACCGACTTGTTGCATCAAACCCGACTATCACCATTCTGTTAGTACCGTCCGTGCGCGACGTTATCGAGAAACACGTATCCTGGCCCCAGGATCCCTTCCCTAAAAAAGAATTAGGACTACCTAAGGCCGCACGTATAATCGGCAATCCCATGACTCTATCCATCAATGAGATGGTACTCGGAATTTCGTCCCAGGATATCCTTTGGGGTCTGCAGCACGAGGAGCTTGTCGGTAGCCGGCCTCCAGACAACCACTTGTTCTCGAGAGCTCCTAAACACTTGATCGAGCAAAGGCATTATTTCCCTATATTCCCTCCAGTAGACCGGCAGAAACTGCCCAAGGTCGGAACGGCAGATGGACTTCCACCTGGTGCCGTACTTGACACGAGCTATTTAAAGCTGGGAGAAATGGTGACGGTGAGACCTGATATTATGATCATTCCGAGTGCTTTGCCTCCGTTTGCAAGGGTATGTATAAACTATAACCCCTTATTTGTCAAACACACTTACTAACATATGCTAGGTTGTGGAGAGTGTTGTAATCATCAACCCAGGATACCTCTCGAAAAGGAGAGGCGCAGGGACGTATGCTCGAATGACTCTGTTTCCACCGACGGTGACAGATGAAGAGTTAAGTAATGGAGGTATGGTTAGTCACAAGGTATTCGAAAGGGCTAAGATCGAAATCACGAGGATATAATGTATACAATTGCCCTTATCAAGACGGACTCCAGGGACCTCGTGATAAAATATAAATGCCGGCTAACCTAACCCTCTTATAACCAATTTATAATGTATCTATCTGTCAGACTAGTTGACTAGAATTATACCCCAAGGTTAAACTAGTTTGGAGATTATTTATTGCATTTTTCTAGACGCCCGTGAGCTTATACATGTAATTAGGAAGATGTCTGAAGACGGGTAACTTTGAAGCTTGTACCTTTCATGTATAGAGTACATAAAAAAGGTACATGGACATTTGCTGCGGACTTGAATTGAGAGCTCCACATCTGCAACATTAAACCTACCCCAAGAACTTCCAACTTCCAGACCAACATCCAGATCAGCAACTATTCGCAGAGAAACGACAATACATAATAGACTACCCGAGACAGTACACCTCAATACAGGAACCCAGATCGCATGCCCTAAAGTACACGAACGCATCAGCCAGACAAGAGCAATGTCAAACCTCCAGCCCGTAAAGGGCAGTAGTAAAGACCAACCGGGCCTACGGTACCCGACGAGCGGCAAGACAATCTACCACCGACCGCTAAACCGCACCAAAGCCGCCGAACTCAGCGGCTCCAGCTTCGCCTATCTTTTCTCCGAGATGGTAGGCTACGCCTCGAAGAAGATAGAGAGCATACAAGACTTAGAAAAGCGGTAAGTTAGCTAGTTAGCTATCCGAGGCCAGGCAAGCAAGCTCGAGTGCTAATGCGACCCAGACTCAACGCCCAAGGCCACCCCATCGGCCTCAAGCTGCTCGACCTCCTCCTATACCGCGAACCGCCGCGCTCGCAGACGCGGCCGCTAAACATCATCACGCTCCTGCACTTCATCAAGATCAACGTGTGGCAGCACCTATTCGGGCGAGCAGCCGACGGCCTGGAGAAGTCGTCGGATCCGTCCAAGCCCGACGAGTACATGATCATCGACAACGAGCCGCTGGTTAATCGCTACATCAGCGTGCCCAAGGACATGAGCCAGCTCAACTGCGCGGCGTACGTAGCGGGCATCGTCGAGGGCGTGTGCGATGGCTCGGCGTTCCCGGCGCGCGTCACGGCGCACAGCGTCGGTAAGCAGGAGGAGGGCGAGATGTGGCCAGGACGGACGGTTTTTCTGGTTAAGTTCGCGCCGGAGGTTATGGAGAGGGAGGGGTATTTGGGGAAAGGCTGAGGCTGGGATGGTATATTTTGAGTGAAGGGGGGAATCTAGGCGTGGTGGTTCTAGCATTGCAACGGCGTTCGGGACGGTTTGCCAGTCGGGAATCGAGGATAGGGTTCATTTTATATTAGGAGCATGGTATCACCGTGTCAGAAGATAGGGTGCGAGTTACGATATCAAGGCAGTCCAAAGTCAATAGGTGACTGTCTTAAAGAAAGAAAGAAGGATTATGTTACTACGCCGATTCGCCGTGAAACGCCAGTTCCCCATCAAGACTCACGCTTCTATGAACCTCTCCGGCCCATTACCAACGAAGCCGCATCCTCCAACAATACAAGCCAGCCAGTTCGTCACCGCGGCAGTCCCTTATACGATGCTCGACCCGCACCCCCCGACTTCCCCACCGCAGGCCCCTTGCCCATGAGCTCGGCGAGCCCCAGATCCTTCCAGGCGGCCTCCCTGTTGCGCTGGGTAGCTTTCTGTATACCGAAGGCGGCATGCTGGTCGGGCACGACGTCGTCCTCGTCCTCGGGGTTGATGGGCTGGTGGTGCGGCGGCACGTAGATGTCGTCGTCGGGCAGTTTGTCCTTGCAGAAGTCCTCGAACATGTCGGCGTCGCGCGGGCGCTGCATGTGCACGTACGTGTAGCAGCTGTCTTTGTTCTAGGGGAGTGGGTAGGTTAGCTTGAGAGCAGGTAGAGTAATTGGTTGCCTTGGGAGGGAGGGCAGAAATACCATTGTGCTTGTATAAGCAGGTTTCTTGGATTAGGTAGTATGATGTGTTTCTGAGGTGTTGTTGACTGGTATTTACATGTGAACTGAAGATGTCGTATATAGTGTATTAGGTGTACCTATGTACAGTGGGATTAGGTGGGATGTGATTGATGCAAGTTCCCATCGTGCTTAGGTAAGGCTGTAGGTGTGGGGCGTTATTATTCTCCAGCCGCGCAGCTCGAGATCCGCGGACGGTTTCCCTTTCCGAATCCCAGAATGTACCTATACTTCAGGGTACCTATTGGTAGACCTCACATCCACATGGCACAGGGTATACAGGAATCGCATCTGATTTCCTCTCAACTACGAACGGAACTGTCTATCTAACCGAAAAGTGTACAATATGGTATCCCTTTAGTAGCAGACGGCCCGACCAGATACTCCCAAAGACTCCATAACGGACCATGACCCTACTTATAAAGGGATCGCAGCTCGCACAGCGTTACTCATCATATCAGTAAAAGGTATCAAATCCTACATGTGTAGCTAGCTGTCCTCCCACGGCACTATTTCTGTAACACTCGTGAGCGATCTCACAAACGGTGTGTGTTACGGTATTGTACCTAATCGGAAATTAGGGGGTATCATCACTCTCTGTTAAGACATACTAGACAGGTTTCAGGAGGACATATCCCGTTCAAAGTCCCGCCGATGTGTTTAGAGAAACATAGTTCGGGACATTCTTCTGAACTGGCCGAGTTTCTTACGCCGAGTCCTGCATACACTCAGTGTTAGAGTGGCTTACGATTTCTAATAAACCGTATCTATACTCGACTTAATAGGTAATTTGCAAAGGGAGGCGGTAGTATCAAGGCGTAAATAAAGCGAGTATAATAATAATTCATCGTTGGTTGCTATTTTCGACACAGCTAGAATATCGCCTTCAGTATACCCCCTTTAGCATAACTTCAACCTGCGAGTTGTTATGAATCCATATGAACCCCATCTCAACGATACCCTAGGACTAAATTCACTATTCTAACCATCGTACGTCACAACGTTTAAACGTTTTTAAGTAAGATAGACTCCAATTCCATAATCCCTATCAACGTACCAGCCGCGGTGGCCCTTCGAAATGCACTCGCTCATCACGGAGTCGGACAGGTACTGAGCGGCGAGCGCAGGAGAGATAGTCGAGGTGCCGATGCGCTGGGGGCAGACAGAGGCGGTGCAGTTGCCGGACACGGCGTGGTAGCAGCCTTCAACTAGTTTGACCGTGATATCGGCCTGCACGGTTCGAAGTTGCTTGATCGCGCCAAGGCAGTCATCGGCGGAGGGGACTGGGCCCTATATATTGTATTAGCAAGCGTATTTATTGTGTGCTTCATAGAACCGTCTTTAATAAATAAGCTACTTACAACTTCCGAAGCAGGTTCGTAGCAACGATGAACTGCGTCGCGGCGCTGCATAGCATGTCCGACAGTCGAGTCGGCAATCATGTCGCGGAGGACGGTCTCTTGCATGAACCCAGACGAAGAGAGAGATCCTGTACCCTTGATAACAACGGCAGCTGCAGAGGGTGCTAGATTAAGGACGCCGGTCGTGATGACGGCCAAGGCGGCCATGCGCATGAGAAACATGGTGAATATCGCGAGCCGGTGTGATATCCTAGATGTAAGTTGAAAATGGGATAGTTGCTGAGATCAAGAAGTCGGTCTCGAATAAACTGTTGCCTTTTAAAAAGTGTTTGGTGGTTAGATGATGTCAATGTTTGCTTGATTTATCTAGGTAACTCTAAGAAGATTGTCAGATGGAAACGGCGATTGATAGGTGCCTACCCAGTAGGTCTGCTGATTTTGTTGCAGCAGTGGGCTACATACTTGAAGTTACTTGGAAGGTTCGACGAGTCTATTAAATTAACAATCGTGATCACTAAAGGTGCTTAGGAAAGGGGCAAAGTAACACCCCCTTAGCTCGACCAAATTGAATACTTGTGCTTCAAAGCCCGCATCACAATGCATCTGTGATTAAAATTCAATACGGCCAGTGTACCCGAGATAAGTGAATGTAGACTCGTGGAATTGTCTAACCTTCTCGTCTTATCATCCAGCAATGACCTAGAAGCTTAGAACAATGTGGCCTGGAAAGTGGCCGTGAGAGAACATCCGTAGAAGTTGCATGTCTAGCAACCAACTCAGCATACAACTTAACAAGGCAGGCCGCTAATTTACTACTAATAGGAGATCCTCAGTGTAATGAATGTTTCAGTTATCATTCCTGTGAGCAACTGTTTGGATTTGAATTGTTAAGTCGTTATCGTAAGTAACCACAAGGCTAATAGTAGTATTGAACGATGGGGGAAAATCTCAGCTTAATAAAAATATATTCACTCTGAGAGGTTTGTAGCTCCAGAAGCTATGATTGACCAAGGCATTAATTTGCAATGCTATCTACCTCATAGTAATGGAGACGTTCGAGTATCGAAGCAAATGCTATGAGCACATAGTTACTCGTTCATGCGTACTTCGACCGAGTTCATTCCCTGCTAGAGTTTCGTCTAGGCTACATAATAGAAAGTCGTTACCATGATGTCCCTGAAATCTCATCGTAGACCCTATGACAACAATACAGGCTACTCTCACATCATGTATTCGAGAATTAATCCACCCATAGTCGGTACGTGCCATAGTGACTGTTGATGTTAGTATGGTCCGCCATGACTCCCAGGTTTCCTTTGCCAATGCAGCCGTCTAGCAGTGGGCTGGCTATGTAGGTTGTCAGCCAGGTTGCAGACCTGTTGACGGGTCTGTTGACGTAGGGCTGGGCGCAGAAGCGGACTCTGCATGATCCTTGGTTCCAGACAGCGCAGACACCCGAGTAGAGTGCGAACTCCTGCTGCTCGTCGATTCGAATAGTGTCAATGATCTTCTGGCAGTCCGAGACCGAGGTGTTGGTAGACTATGATATACCGTGTTAGCTTGGCCGTATGAGATGCAGTAAATAGGAGAGGATCCCATGACTTACGCCGTAACAAGTGAAGGCATCTCGTTTCTCGAGACCCGAATGCGCCATGGCAGATTCAATGCCAAGTGCAATCTTAGATGAGTTGAGTACTGCCGTCATGCCTAAGCAGCTGCCAAAGGCGAGAATAGCAAAGATAGCAGTGAATCTCATGGTGAATAGACTAGATATCAGAGCCTCTTTGGAGTTGAAATTGTATGGAGGAGAGGAGGGTGCTAGAGTCTAGTCTTGAAATTCTAGTAGGAACAAGAGGTATGCGCTGACCGATGTGTTTTTGGATTTGATGGTGAAGAAAGTTGCAAGTTACCTGTAATCAAACCGAGACAAAAAAGGTACGAACACCTGACGGCATGTGTACATAAAGAGGCAACTGCATTCTAGACAGGCAGATACTTTGGAATTAGGTAACTGAAGCATATGCTACACAGAAGCAACCAGTTGAGGCAGGAACGCTCCGTCAGGACGTACATTTGTACATTCGTACCCTCTGCAAAACTGCCTCACGTTGCCTTAAATGCCGTTTTAGTCGAAATACTGCAGCAAACTACACGCATGCAGAGAATCTTGCATCCTAAGATGCATGTGTCTACACCATAAAAATATAGATCTAAGTATGTAGTAACATGCCTAGAAGGGACAGCAACATGCAGCCATCACGATCTTCCCCCTTTTTTGCTGTAGCAAGATTCGGCTCGTTCCCCGTGTACGCTGATAATTCAGTAGTGAGATTATGCAGGCGAGATTCTAACAACGTACATAAATCAGAATATCATACACGGGTGCTAGCAGAGCCTCATTAGATGCACTATAATCATAAACCACATAGATACCTGCATAATTGTATGATGACTGACATTTATCCTTCGCTATAGTCCGTAACCTATGTTGAACTGAGACGACCGAGTGTAATAACTACCCGTCAGAAACTCAGGTCGGACATGTTGTACGTTGAACATGACAAGAGCTTGTGAACCGGCAAAAGCGAATATTCGGAAAGACTCACGGACGCGTAATATATAAGCTAGATCGGGACACGCGACGACGAGCCAAGGTCGGCTGATCATAAGTAAGCTGATCGTAAGTAGATATGTCAACGTTCACAGATCGATCGGATATCGTTCTATACATATAGTAGCACCACTTCAAGCCACGAGAAATGACCGCCGCAAAGCCTCATCGAGCATGACGATATGACGATATAGCCACATCGCACGTACCATCATAGGTATTATGGTCTTGAAAAATATTAGACATGTCAACTACACATGTACATACACGCGTAGCCAATAATTAGGTAAGCTCCTAATAAATCATAAATGGATATGATTAACAGGGGCAATGATGCTGTCATTTATTAGCCAGTGGGGAAATATATGTTATTTATGCTTAACAACTTTGACATACCTAGCAGCATAGTACTTCAAGGTTGTAGATATATTAGCTAGGAGCGGCACGTTTTCGGGCTGGATGCAAGGTATTTGGACAAGTTTAACATGGGTATTAACAATCAATGTAAGCTTTTAGCTAATACCTACATGGTAACAAACGGGTATTAGATCTGAATATGGAAGCGATCATTATTTCATTTTGAACGATCAATACTTACCCAACTAAACCTTGTCTCCGCAATTCGTTCATCTCGTTCATTTCGTAATAATTTCTAGGTTATCTGCTGCTGCTGTGCCCCGTCAAGAGGATACATGCAGGCTGTGCGAAAGGTAAAAAGATCCCGTACGCGTACCCGTTCCTGTTCGGCTTCTATATCCAATTTGAGGATTTGCTGCGTTGCCTGCCGCTTGTCCTGGCCGAAAAGGCGGAAATACCCGTAATTTATTATGCAACGTGCCATGTGCTTGTTGGGTTTATACTGAGATCTGAGGCCAGGAAAAGAATCCTTCAGGCGAGATCATTGGGTTCATTAGGACCATTAGGACCATTGGGTTTCATCCTGAAGATGGTGTATTTACGCTACAGCAAACGCACGCACATGCAAGGAATAAGTCGACTACGCACGAAGTGTTATCTCTATGTAAGTGAACCGTGGTAGACGTTCCGTAATAAGCACTTAACCCAGAAAGTTGCCACCAATGCTCCGATCAAAAGGTCCGTGGAGGCCTCGATCTACCTCTTATCCTTTACAAACTAACCTGAGATGGAACGCGTGTTGGGACTATGGTGAACTTTGCATATAAGCTCAGACCAGTATCCAAAGAAAAGGATAACGCTAATGTTCATTACAATACGATAAATCGCAATCGTTACCAATAGTGTCTTTACGTACGATGTAATGATTAGCTAATAAACCCTCAACACTCAAACTCGCGTAAACTTCGCGAAGAATCAGGTGCTGTTTCATGCGAGACGCTAATAGCACGTAAAGTATAAAACAAAACTTACAAATACGAGTGATAAACATTGATACGAGATACTATATAGTTACATATAAAGTAGATAAACTTGTTGAGGGGTAATTCTTAGCGGATAAACGCCATTATGTATATCTTCCACCTAATGTCTTGCATTTGAAGATGCAAGAATGTATGTGTCAGAACCCACGTGTAGAAAAAGAAAAGCTTCTGAACTTGACGAATTAGGTTATTACCTAGGGGAAGCTGTTGCGGCGGGTGCAAGCGTTGCGGGACCACCAACTCCAGATTTTAGCATTCTTAAGTGGTCGAGCCCCTCACGGGCCTGTGCGACATACCCTGTGTAGCCAGCTAACCCCTGTCTCCCCCTTTTTCATTGATCCAATGGCTCCCCTGGCTCCTGCAACTATCAGGCGCATGGATGCGCGCTATGGGCTGCTGCAAATGGCTAGCAAGGTTAACAAGGCCTGCAAGGTTAGGAACAAGGTTAGCAAAGTTAGAAACTGCAGAAGTCTGGAACAAGAACTCCATTACTCGTCCACTTACTCTAACTGTCTGCCACTACTTTCGTACATCTTTTCGCTCCCTTTACCATTTATTCTTTTTGCCCCTCGAAGGCTTAGGGTCACTCGTTCCTTGCATGATCACGTACGACTTATCGGCAACAAGACATTCATTCGTTTCATTTTTAGTTGCTAGGCATTGCATGTAGTATTAGTGGACATACGCACGTACAATTACATTCGTACATCCAGCACACGGCATTACATGCATACATAGATCGCAGTCATTCTCTTCCTCCCATTCGCACCCTCCTTCCAACCCTCGATCTTTGCGTCGATCCTTTATTCCAATTTATCTCCAGACCTAAATCGTCGACTCAAGGAAGTATCAATGAACTGAAAGACCGAACGCCCTTGGTCCTATTTCAATCGATTGATCCCATCTCTAACGCCAACTTGGAGCACTATCGCAAGAGCAGAGCAAGCTAGAACTTGCTCCTTCCAATTGCGTCCATCTAGACCCGATTTTCGGCCTAGCCAAGCGCGTCCTTGCCCTTTAGCCCTTTAGCGGCTTCTGGTGAGCTTAGTACTTGTTATCCACGAAGTCATTCGCTTGACTAACGGTTCCTCCTAGCACTCATTCCCCAACCCGACCTTATACTATCACCGTCGCGTTCCTCATTTTGGAACACCGTGGTTTGCCATTTAGCGAGCTCGGTTCTGAAGACGGCGGCACCTACATATTAATATCTCCTCGATTCGACACCACCGGTGCACCTTGGTTCGCATTTTCCGTATCATTAAGGGAAATGGCTTCAATTACCATAGAGAAGGCCACTAAGCCTGGTCAATTGACTGTTACTACCCAACAACTCCGCCCACCTAGCAAAGAGAGGAGCCTGGAAGGAGGTAGGGAGATGCGCCGAGGTTCTAACGTATCGACGCCAAATTCTACTACCGCTTCGAACGGATTCGACACCGACGTAGAAGCAATGATGCCTGTCAAATCCTCTGAACACCTGAACAAGACATCAACCATTGGAACTAGGCGAAAATCAGATTGCCCTGTCTGGCCTGGACAAGAACACTGGCAGCAAAAGGCACAGGCGGCCAAAATCAACAACAGATCTTGCCAGTGCATGGCTCGCCTTAGCCAAAGGAACAGAATCATTGCTAAAATCCTCATTGGTCTACTGATAGTGGGTATTGCCGTTGGTATTGGCTTCGGTATCAGCAAACCTCTCGGCGCGGGCATCTGGCAACCTTCGAACCACTGATTGCCTGAGATCAATATAGAAGCTAAAGACTTCGTATGTTATCAGAAGTACGAGCGTCGTAGCTATGCGACCTTGTTGTACGATGATGATATTAGTTGCCCAAGAGGTCGAGGATTTTATTCGACCCGCCATTATTGTTATTTGAAGCTTATCGGGGCTGAATTACCAGCAACGCCTGCCCGCTGATTCGAATCAGCGTTTGCTTGCTTTTCAATTGTCTATACTCTTCAATACTTTTGTTGATACCCAATTGGACTCCGGTTCATATGCACACTGGTTTTTCGCAATTCAGGCCAGGGGAGAAACGGTACCTCACTAGACTGCGGAATATGGAGGCGTTAGGAGTAACACGTGGAATGTGGACAAGGCATATCACGAAAAGGCGTCTTGTTTTTGGCGAGGTTGATACTTGAACTTAGCATAGTGTTTCGGCCACATTAGGCGTAAGACCGATACCAGACGCTTCGCGGCGTATGAAAATCAACGGATGGCCTGCTCACAAAGGGTCGTCATTGCGAATCATGCGGTTTAGAACATTGTCTTTGATCTCGTTGAGTGATATGTAAGGGTAACATATTTGTTAACTGGATCCATCTGCTAGTTCTGATGTGCAGCCAGTACGAAGTAATACTCATTGACAATACCTTTTTAGAGCTCTCATACTGCTTTAGCATTCTCATTTTCTGAGCTACTTCCAGAGCTAGGAAATGATATTCATATGCCACGTGGAACTTACAGGGACAATAAGTAAATATATTTACATATAACTAACCTCTAGGGCATGAGTACCGCTAGTAATATCTGCGTTAGAAAGGCACCTCCTCGAGCTCTTCAGAAATTCTGCCCATACCTCCCAATACACCTTTCCGATACGGTTTCCTGGTCGGCGTCGCCTTAGCCGCATTCGCCTTTACGCTTACATTCTTCCCCCGGTGGCCGTTAGGCTTTTGCCACATGTTCATGCCCGGCGGTCCACCGAACCGCATTATATTCGGCGTAACGGGCACGATAGACAAGGGTCTCGTGACCATTATCTGGACCCGGTTGCTTTCCGGACGCGAGGAGGATTCCCCGGACCTAGCCCCGCGTCCTTCGGAGGCCGCGATTGCTTCTCGCCACGGCAACACGCGCTGCGAGGGTAGGGCTGCCATCTCGATGTCCCGAGGAGGGGTGCGTGTGTCCCGCCATACGGCATATACGGCTATTGCAATAAATGTTACGGGGAGTAGGCCAAGGAGGATGTCTAATGTATGAAAGTATTTCGTGTCAGCTTTGCAATACTACAATTCTAGAATATTCACCGTTGTTTTTTGATTGAGTCGAAATGATAGGGTCGTCACACTTACTACTGAGCGTTAGCCACTGTATACCTTACGAAAGCGGTTTCGAGACCATTCTAGAAAGGGGGTTCGAAAATAACAACAGGGGATGTTTTCATACGTACCACATGAGCATCCAGTTGCTGTTATTGTTGTTGGGGAGGGGGGGCGTGCCTTTTAGAGCCATTGGGTGTTCTGGCTAGACCTCTGTATAGACTAGCTGTTGGAATAGGATGTGGTGCTAGGAAAAGGGGGGGTGGGGAGCGCGAGGGCGATATAGGGGAGTGTTAGGGAGATGTGGAGGGGAGTCATTAATAATGGCTGTGGTAGTGATGCCGATGTTTATACACAGGTCTACTGCGATGGGGTCAACTCGAAGCTAGCTTGCAGTTAGAAAAAAAGATCAAGTTGGTTGGTTATAACTAGCTTAACCTAGAGAATATGACGAAGACTCGGCAGACTAGACTGTCTTATAAAATTATGCACGAGACTATTTATAATTAGTTGTCTCAAGTCGGAAGAAAGAAATCTTTGTTTGTGGTCTTGAACAATGTTGGAAAAGGCGCTTGTTCGAATACAATAGGCTTTGAGGATTATATATGCTATTGTTTGCTACCTGTAAAATGTATTAGGTCTATATAGGTATCTTTTTAGAGGCTGTAGATTTGGTATTTAGTAGTTGAGATGACGTGTCATCAGGCCTACATCTAGGTTGCCGATACTGATATATCTCGTAGGTCTTCTAGAAGGGACTTGAACGAATAAGTTATGAGTCTTGTTGGTGCTAGGCATGGTACCATATTTCACGAGAACCAACTGGTTAACCGGGTAAGGTCCCTACGTATTGGGTCTAACTATCTATCTAATACATAGCGGCTCTATGGGATCTATAGTTATTCCAGTAGCATCGAAGATGGAGGCCACGAGTCCGGTGCAGTCTCAACTACTATTAACAATGAAAACCGGCAATAGCCCCTTAATAGGCTCTAATGTGGATATCAACTCCTAGGGTCGGTTATGTAAAGTGTCTATCAACACGATAGAGGTATATATATCTAAGCCACCCTCATAGAGCTGTAAACGAGAATTTTCAAAACGTAATATATATAAATTTACTAGACAGTAAGAACAGAAAGAAACATCGTGAAATATCCGCCCATGCAAGGAACTATTATATAGAGTATATATAATATAAACAGCACGTTGGCGAAGAAGAAAAAAACTGGTGTCTGGAAATCATTTTCATCTGATTTTGATCATTTGATGGAGTGAAGAGTTGAATTATTAGTGATACCTATGGTAGCCATTGGGACTAAAGCTGTTCTAGAACCAGAGAAAACTACTTTCAAACCCATGGGTCGTCGCCAGGCTCCAAATGTTCCTATACCGTAGGTAATTTATACCACTCGGCTCCTCCCATAATATAGATATTCAACTTACCAGTAGTTACTCTTGATTGGATTCATCTATTACAATAGCGAATAGCATTACACGGCATTATGACGCCATATCTTATCAAGCCAGCTGGATAGATATCAAGAACAACCCCCGAGTACTCGTTCAGTCCTTGTCGGTACCTCTCGACTATCCTACCAATCCATCCGCCAGTACTCAACAGAGTAAACATGCTCAGCGCATACCACCCAATCCCTGAAGTGTTCAATAACGGCGCGTCTGTCCGTTTCTTTATTACCATACCATTTCTATGGCTAAAGCAAGTGCCCCATCATGACCAGAACAAACACGAAAGCAGGATGAAACACCAGTACGTGAGTGGCAACGTCCGTATCCTCTAATTCTTCCGATGGGATGTCTACATCCAGTTAATCGAGTTTCCCCCAAACACCGTTGCATAACCTCCGAAATTCAGCTGCGGTTGCCCCCCGGCCGGTACCGAAAACATATCGCCCCAGTCGATGGAATTAGCATCGACAAAGCCAAGCATCTGATCCCAAGAAACCTCTGTGCTGGGTTGTTGTGTAGGCGCAGTAGGGCTCATGTTTAGACTCGTCACGGTAGACGCTTCATCAGTGCGTGTATGCCTAGTCTCGTCGGGTGGAAGAAGACTTAGCAGCTTGACTATATAGCCCGGCGTCTCCGGAGCAGATCCCGTTGTATCCCGAAGTATCCTTTCTCGTACGTTCCAGGCTCGTATCGTAAAGATAGCGGACGCCATGTGCGCCTTCATCGAGAGATCGTATAATTCCATGTGGTACTGGTAGAACATTTCGACCACCTGCCATGCCCTTTCTACCAGCTGTCCAGATGTGCGTGTGCTCAGCTGCCCGACCATATATATGAAAACTTCTATCTGAAAATGTGACATCACTGCAGGTATTAGCAAAGTATGAAATTGACGATCATAGTCTATGTCACTTACTAAACCAGAGAAAAAAGCCCTCGGTCTGAGGTATCTGGTACATCCGCAAATTCTGCTCCCCTGCCGTGAGAGACAGCTTAAATAGGTTGTCTTTGGGCGTTAAGATTTCGGTGCCCCATTCCGGCTGACTTCTGAGTGGGCAAACAAGCTCTCGTAGCTTGTCGACCATTATTGACTTCGTCTCGGTCGCTAAGACGTGCACAGGTCCCATTAAGGGATCGCTATACTTGGTGAGGATCTCCGTCAAAGTTCTATCCAGCTCATCGATGCGCCTAGTGGCCCTTTCGACTTTTTCGGGTTCGGGGTTGTCTACCCCCATCTCATTCTGCATGATAACCGTGTGAAGCTCAGGGGTGTCAACCATAGTCGCGGCAAGCTCGCAACATACGAGGCGGAATATCATATCCGTGGGACTGTCTTTGGGTTGGAGGGTGGTCATGGTAGGGTAAAGATCAGAGTCGTTGAGGTTCAAGGGTGTCTTTGTGTCCCAGGAGCGTGGGAGGAGGGAATGACCTAGGCCAGACATAAGCGCGTACATGGCATCAAGCAAAATAATTTGCCACCATATTCGTCGCCGGATCTCAGTCTCGAACGGCGATAGTCCGAGGAATTCTCCATCTCTATGAAGTCCCATTTTTTGCGCGATCCTCACCGTGACGCCATTTAAAATCCATGCCGCATGGCGGTCATAATGACCCGGCAGGGAGAACTGGTGGAAGTGCTGTTAGCTGAGGTCTGATTGAGAGGTGGCGGCACATGTGTATACCAAGTATAGCACTAAGGCTTGTAAGACAACTAGGTCGTAGTTTTTTAGAATGCCGATGCGCATTAAAGCTGAACGGCAACCCTTGGAAAAGCGAGTATAAGCCACATCTTTAGTGTACCCAAACCGCTCTAAGCACTCATCTTCGGTTAGAGCCACGGTCGCCATTAGATATATGGAAAATAGCAGGGCCTCGGCATTCTTAGGTATCTTTGCTCTACTTGCCGCTGCTTCGACGAGCAGTGGCTGGACTGTAGGAACATGGATCACCTTAGTTATTGGGTTGACTCTTTCGATGAAAATCTGCCATAGGCGGAATACGTGAGCTGGTTGGGGATGTAGCTCTTCTAAATCGGTGTTAGAAGTATCTGATAATATGAGTCCTGCATCGAGATCGGAAATTTGCGACTCGGCTGGAGTACATGGATCGTCTACTGTTTCTTCATCCTCGAGTATCTCGCGCATTGCCGAGAGCTAGTGGAAGCGAGAGAAGGAGTTAAACCCAAAATTATCCAAAAAGAGAAATGGTGAACCGAAAACGAGTAGCATATTAGGGAGAAGTGGTGCGGGAGAGGACGAACTCACTTCGCTGTGAATAGTAGCCCATAAGAAACTATCTATAAATTTAACGCCGCCATCGTCGACTATCAGTTTCCCGAGGGGTCTCCAAGACTCATCTTGGCTTGGTGATTCAGTGGACGAGGGAGCTGGTGGTTTGGCGGTGGCATATTCGGACAGCAACTCCTCGCACCGGGCGAGCCTCTGCTGTAAGTCTTGGTTGGGCCTCCGTCTCTTGCGTGCAGGCGCCGGGGTACTTGGAGTACAGGAAACGTTGGCCTGAGCACAATCTGTCAGGACCGAAAAGCTTTGGGGGGATAGACTTCCCCGTCCAAAACTCACCTTGATGCAGTTGGAACAAGGAGTTCTGCGGTCACATTTGATCTTTCTATTTTGGCACAAAACCTACGTAGATATGAAGTGAGGATGGCGACCTTTAAGCGGTTCGGTGGTACAAACAACTCACACAAGCAAGGACCCTGGGTGGCTTTCCCGACGAGTTAGATGCCATGGCTAGGTACCGTCCTCTCTTAGTCCCGCACTTTAGTCCTGCACCCCAAGTCTTCAACTGAGACTTGGTTGGCGCTTATCATTTGAATCTTCACGATAAGTATAGTGGGGTTCACCGTTCAGTATGAAGCTGGCAATGGTGTATATTCCGAATATGTGGAAAGGCTTCGTATGAAAAATGAGGAATGTCTTTATCGATTGCGGCGAGGTGGAGGGAATGCGACACGAATTGAGGCTGCCTAACGCCTTTTACCAGGGGCGGGTCAGACGCCCCGGCGGAATGCTATGATTGCAAGACTACGTCTCTAAAAGGGGGTAGACAATGAGAGGCCTTCGGTTTTCTTGAAAGCCGAATGTATTGTAAATTTATGACTCCGGGGGAAGTCTCTTGATATTTATAAGATAGTTGTATGTTAAGAGGTATGTATGTTAAGATGTAGATGTGTAAGTAAGATGTATGTTTGATGTATATCTTGATTGAGCAGGATAGATTTGTAAGAGGTATGTATTCCGTACTATATTTAAATTATGTAATTAACTTTTAGTATGTTCGTAGCATGCAGTAGGCTGTAGGCCAAGAACTAAGAAAGCGACGGGACTGACTGTTTCCAAACCCGAATTCGAATGATCAAGGCTGAAGATTCTTGTTGATTCCGTAATTCCGTAATTCCGTACCCAGTATGTAGGTACTTATTAATGTAGGTACTTTCCGAAGCAATTGAAGTACCGTAACTAAACTTTTAGGTTCAACCATTAGCATTATTCTTTTCTACATTATTCCATTATTAAGGTTATTTGACCCCGTCTTGCACGTAGATCAAGTCCTAAACCGTACAGTATTCTTTCTGCACTGTGTATCCGCTTGGAGATGACAATGTTCTAAAGTCGTTCTAAGGTCGTATAAGTGCCACACAGCCACACTTGAAGCTACTCTCTACATAGTATCTTATCAGGGGTCAATTGGCCTGGGATCAACCATGACCATCTAGAATCCGAACGTCATAACAGCTCATCCTCAAGATGTGTCATATGTATATAGGATAAAGCCAATTTGGACTCCGGATTAAATGATCGCTCATAAAAATGACCCTAAGCAGACGAGAATACAGCTAACTAAAGTCGCTGGCTTGCAGTTCTTCATCCTCGTACCGCCTCGTGCTCTACACTACATACGCCGGGAGATAAGGCAGATATAGGCAGGCGACTATGTTACTTTGCCTTCTCGTCACTACATGACTCATAACAACCCTTGGCTTGTTGTCCCGAGTTCATATCCATTGGTGCCTGCGAAATTCGTGACAGGAAACAGATCGTTATATCTCTCGACTATGAGGTTATTCCATACCCTCCTACCCATGATCTTACCCCAGCTGGTTGGCGTCAGCATTGGCTAGTCGACCCTTCGCCGGAGATAAACCCCGGGTTACGATATGACTCAACGCCCCTTACTATACGGCACGGCCCGAGTAGGACTTGAGTCGGACTAGGGGGGGGGCTACTCGCAAAGGGATTCGAACCTACTTGCATTGCTTCCCTAAGGCAAATACGCTACTAGGTGCTTTGACCTTGTTCCATGCGGGATATTAGAAATCGGAGGGTGTCGAGACGCTTACGGATATTTTCCTCGGCTTCCCCAAAATGTGTGGCCTAATGTATAAGAGATTAGATCATCACTTGCGGCGAGCTTGAGAAATGAGGCAAGCATCAAATCTCTGTGACATGAGTTGAATGCTCTACTCTTGTATTATCCATGATCCACGAGGACGAATAGAAAAGTGCTAAGAGGCAACATCATTTGAATATACATATCTCATTATCTACATTTCCTAGCCGGCCACATCACAACATGGCTTAATTCATCACTAACTAGTATCAGATCGATTGGTCTTAGTTCATCCCCCTTTTTCTTCACTCGTTTTGCAACGATATATAGGTATACGCTACAGTATTAATAAACGCCGGCCGAACCCGGCGGATATATCTTAGTCTATAAGTCGGGCCCCCGATTTGTGCCTTCTGATCCCCTTTTAGAAGGCCTCGTAAATGCTGATGAATTTGCTGACCGGACGCCGAACTCTTAATCATTCATTCATCCCACCCCTATCCCCCGGTGGTAACCTAAATACCAAAACCTTTTACACATGTCCACAGGACCACAGGTACCACGACGTTATCGTTGCCGCCAGTCAAGACTGCCTCCGTGAGACTGGCGGTGGCGGCACATATCCCCATCTTCTGGGCCGCGGCGCTCCATGTGTCGGAGTTGCCGGTTGTCTGAGGCCATCCGCCGATGAGTAGCCATAGACGGGCAGCGACAAGTCCCGCGAAGACAGCAAACGTAAAAGCTACACTCCCCTCGAGACTCTTACCGCCACCCCACAGCCATTTCCTCTGTCCATAACGTCTTCCGATCAAAGAAGCGGCTGCGTCACCTAGCCCCACGCATACGACACCCGATACCATGCTAATTTCTCTCGTGGGCACCTCCCAACCGTCGAGGCATCCAGACCCAACACGAGGGAGCGAACCCAGCGTCAGCCACAGAGGAATCGCACAACCTATAAGAAGGAATATATGCGAGATAACAACCGGGCCTCGGAGGTCTCGTCCGTCAACGTACGGGGCAAGGAAAAAGGCCAGCGGCTTCGACAGCGGAGGAAGTTGGCTCGCGCGGAGAAGGTCGAGCAGAAGGAAGAGAGCGAGGGCGACGGATAGTGCCAAGGCCGCAAACGTAGGATCTATGTAAGTAGCCGGCAGGAACATGGCGACCATCATAAAATGGAAAACCTTTCGTCGCGTATCTACCTCGTAGATAGGCGATAGCCGAAACACTACTATCAACCCGATTGCGATGACACCCACGAAATACGCGCTCAATAAAAGGCGCGTATTAGCCTGGCCAACATGTAGCTGGCGGAGGTCATCGACCCAACCCATCGAAAGATGCTCAAATTCGTCAGATGGTCTTAAAGGGAGGCATATCCATCGCTCTAAATTCCGACTGACAACTTCCCATCTAAATTGCGGCAGATCTCCGAACAAATAGCCCAGAGCCCATCCTATAGGCTCATGGCCACGAAGTGCGTCATCTGCAATAACGGTCTTAACGCCGACAAAGGGAAGGGGAAGGAATACGGCGCCAATAATGCAGATATAAACATATGCAGCATAAATCCATTTCCTAGTTGTAGCCTGCTTCTGCGTAAGCAAGAAGAAAGCACGGACGGAACGAGAAGCGGTTCGCTTCCTCCGGCCGGACGGGGTATGTGTGTGAGATTTGCGCGGTACATTGTCCGTGCTAGGTAGAGTGTGTCGGCGGAGTGGTATTGATCCAGGCTTTGTATCTATGGTATTGGCCAGGAGCTTTTGACCCATGGTAATAGCAGAAAGTGAGCTTTCTTCGATCCCAGTAGAACCAACGCCATCAAACATGGTTTTCACACGAGTAGGTCCTCCGGCTGCCGTAGATGCCGGGTCGTCGCTATCTTCAGGGCCATCGAACGCTTCGCAGGAACTGCAGGATGAGCTATCTACTGGCGCATGGAACAGATCGTGTCTTACTCTCCTCCATGGCATGATGCTTGAAAAGAAAGAAGATGTCGGCTTGGAAGAGCTAGGCGTTCTCTTAAAGCGCCATTTAGGTACACGAGCCAAAGAGATACTCCATTTGATAGGTTGACCACACAAAACAAGGATATCAAGACCTCCTATCCAGAGCAGTGACTTTAAGATTACCGCCTGTGGTGAAGATGCGAGAAATAGGAGATCGATGAGCGAGATCGACAATAACTGCAGCTCGGCTGTAAGAAGACTGGTTGTAGTTAAAGTACGCAGGATGGAGCAGAGGCTCTGGTGTAACGGGTATAATAGTGTTGCAGTTTCGAGCGAAACATATGCTGGGAACTCAGTTCCTCTAGTATTCGTCTGGATGGCATTGAGCCAGCTAGCTTCTTTTAGGAGTAGGGGTGCGCATGAAAGCGCCCAGTGTAAGGAATCGCATCCTGGACCAACACTGGACAAGGTTGGGAGTAACGTCGGCGGTAAGGAACATATGGCGAGTATTATGCTAGGTAGAATTATGGCCTCGTTATCAACGGCGAGAAGTAGCGAGACAAATATGGTGATGGCCGACGGATATAATAATGGTGCTGGATCAAAAGATGATGGTATAGATATCGGGATTTTCTTTGAGGGCGTCCGGTGCCAGTAAGCCCATACCACAAGTCTCAAGGGATAAAGCAACGCCAGAGCGACTGATATCCCTATCCAGACATAGAGCTCTAGATTTACATTAGTATTTTTCTAATAACCAATTCAGCTATGCAAGAAAAGAAGGAAAAAAGCGCACCTCGATTCCACCTGCGAAGTATAGGTTGAACATGAGCATTTGTGCAAATCACAACACCAAGGAATCCGATGAGCAGCAATTCGGTAGAGCGACGGACAATCTCCTTCCTCCTCCGCGCCCTGTCAGCCGGACTTTGGGGTCTTTTGCCTATGGACTCCTCCTTCTTCATATTATAGGATATTCGTCTCCCTTCTTCCTCGAGGACAGCAGGAGACGGTATCGGGGTCGAAGTACCCGACAGAACTTCATTGCGCCCCCGTAAACCCTTTCGCGACCTTCTCGGCGCCGGTAGGCCTTTGAGGAAGTGTTCATCATCGGCCTCGGTGCCGCTGTCGCTACTTGGTGTAATTTCTCTCGAGACGCTGGAAGAGATAGATTGTGCATTGAGTCGGTCTCTTCCTAAGGTTGCATATGTCAAGCGGTCGGATGGTTCCAGCAGCTCGGAGTGCTGGCGATGGTAAGGATGTGGAGATCGTGAGAGGAGTCTCAAAGCATCTTGTGGAGGCGGGTCGAGGTGCTCAGGCATTATCGAGACCCGGTTAGTTGACAGGCACACCTTAGGCGCGCAACGTGGAGGCAATTCATTCAGTCCCAGCCAGAACTTTTTTGCGTCATGTTCCGGGAATAAGTTATGCGAGGGTATGAGGGCGCAAGTTGATGGTGACAACAATCGTAACAATCGTATCGTGGGGATAAAGTTGTAAAGATCTACGATACGGAGGGGGCTGCTTAACAACTTTCAAAGATCTTTAAAAAAGAGTTCTGACATTGATTGAACCTTGGAAGTACTTACCTAGGTAAGCTATGATGTTCTATTAAACGATTGGCGAGATTGGTGGGTCTTGTCTTTTCTGGCACTTAGTTTACCGTATTCACATGTCTTTTTCTGTTCGCGTCGTAATCAACAAGGTACTTACAATATGCTATTCTCAAGTACCTAAGCATTTATGTACACGTAGTGTAACAGGGTACATGTATTTTAGAAACCTTTTTCTCTCAAGGTTAGGTAATTTAAAGAGTCATTACGTAATTATGTGGCTGGTGGAACCCCTTATAAGTATACCTACCTTAGGTACTTCGTATATCCATCATCTTCATCACGGTAGAGAAGTCATGCAATACTACCGCGAATTTCCTATTGAGATGCTTATAAATACAAGTTATTTATCCTAATTTTAGTAGTCAGAGTATTTAACAGATAACCAAATATCGGGTTGATTAAAGCTCAACTCCATACTGATATATCTTAAGGTTAATTTAGTCCCTGCCCGTCGGTTCCAGCTTGATTCCGAGGTAATAGTGCTGACTTCCAGTATCGATGCTGTTAAACAGACACGGGATCGGACAAGATCCAGAGATATATGCATAAAATCACGCATGCCTAGCGATTATGAACTACGGAATGCGGTCCTCGATATTATCCAGTCAGAGCGGCCTTCCGTAGCCTGTTTTATTTCCATTATGTTTGTATAAGGAGTTAAGTATATCATACTGCCTATGTAGCTCGCTGGCGCTTGAGCACATAGGATTTACAGACATATCTTCAAGAAATATGATTAGTTGAAAAAAACCTTACGGCTCCTCATAATAACCTCACTTCACAATGTGATTGGATATATCACTATACTAAATCAACTGTGTAACATGTTGGCACTTGAGGGCATAAAGTTTTAAATATAATGCCCTAGACACTCACATATATATTGCCCGTCCCGACAATGAGCTACTCATAACTCATAATCATCAGAGCTTACTGTTCAAGGTTTTTATCCCTTCGATATGTTCCTCTAATCAGGAAAGCATTGGTAAGATATCAAGATGGCCATCTCGGAAGCAGTAGCTTCTACTAGCCCGCCTCTCGGCGTCGGTGAATATATCATATTTGCGCTAAGCATCTCTCTTCTAGTAAGTTGTATATAGTTCACATAAAGACACTAGTTGCTAATATTTGAATAGCCCATCCTATATTACGCCTGCCTCACCGTATACAATATCTACTTCCACCCCCTGTCCAAATGCCATGGCCCCCTGATAGCCTCAGCAACCCCGTGGTAGCTTGCCCTCTATTATGCAAGAGGCGTCACACATACTACCCTCCCCAATGGAAGGAATTATATGGCCACAAGCCTCCAGGCCATCTCGAACTTACAAAGGATAAGAAATATCACTCGGTCCTAGAGGGTGAGCCTGTGATCATCAATCTCAATCGTTATTACCATGGATATGTCCGCAAGCTACTCGCACATGGCTTCTCTGACAAAATGTTGAGGGAGCAGGAACTAGTTATCTAACAATGTGTTGCTTTGTTATTATAGAAGCTACAAGAAGTCGGTAAAGGAGGTGAGAGGTTGCTATCGATATTCAATCGTGGTATAACGTAAGTTACAAGCTGTTCTAACATCGTGGTAACATTCGAAGCTAAACTACCGAAGTTCATAACGTTCGACTTGATCGGGTTTCTTAGTAAGTTACACGGGGTTTCTATTAGTATCATGTCGCCATCAGACCTCGCCTATAGCTTTTGGGGGGTCCTTCGATTGCCTAGCCAACTCACGGATTCACAAATGGATCGAAGTCTTCTTCAGCTTCGCCAAGTTCATAGCTTTCTACCAAGCAATTGCCCGGTTTCGTCAGTTTAATAAGTCGGGAAAGATGACTCGCGGGCAACTCACGGGCAATGCGAGTATACTCATTAGTGCTGGAAGCGAGACGACGGCGATCTTATTAACAGGTGAGATCAGATGACTTGAGACTTGAAGGAAGATGCATATCTCTAACAATATTCACATTAGGCCTCACTTATCTACTCACAAAGAACCCCCGGGTGCACGAGAAACTGAAGAATGAGATCCGGGGGACTTTCCAAAGCCCTAACGAGATCACGGTGACACGCGTCAACCAATGCAGGTATCTCCTTGCGTGCATGGAAGCCGCCCTACGGGTCTACCCTCCGCCCCCCCAACCCCATCAGCGGATTGTGCCACCTGAAGGTGCTATCATCAATGGCGAGCACCCCCGAGGGCGTGGCCGTTGGTATTCCCATATACGCCGCTTCCAGAAGTCCTCGGAACTGGCTACGGCCTATGGGTGGGTAGCTCTATTATATGCGAGCCACTAATGTAAAGACTCGCTGCTTCATACTGCTGAGAAATTAATAAACTGTATGAAGAACTGTTGCTCGTCTAAATCTAATTGACTGTTTTGAATCCTTGTAAGGCCTTGACTTGTTGATATAAGTAGTGTATGTACTGTAGCACGCTCGCATAAGCATTGATTATTGCTAATATAAAATCTCACCCTACTACCGTATAAATATCTAATCCATGGCATTAACCTTGGTTAGATCGACATTTCCCCACGCATGAACAATGCTGTTTCCCCACTGCTTGCTCGTTATGTGCCGATATTATTAAATATCCATCTGGAGTAATTACTATAGGTATTAGGTACTCTTAGCTATTCGGATTATACTCAACTAATGTCTCTCGGACCTGCCATACATAGGCACGGCTCCGAAACTCTTTCCAACCGTAAGAGCGCGGTTATCCGGACCTCCGGGTAATCCCGAAACGCGGATCTATATTACGGAAGTTGTACTGTATATTCCTTGGTCGGAGGAAACAGGTAGGTTAGCCTTTTAATATTGCAAATATTAATTATTGTTGTTGTTGACGAACGGTCGGTGGCATACTACGTGTTTATAGTTGTAGTCTAATTGCATAGCCGTAGTTTACATGAGATGTTAATGAGGTATCGTCAAGTTATGTAATTACTATATAAATCATTATCTACTACACTACGTGCGGCAACACTGTGCCAAGCGTTCAGCCCTGTAGCCGCTGATATCTAACCGCATAAGGTCTGACTTGGCGAAGTGGCGGCTAACCTGTATGTATCAAAGGTAAGACATGATGAGATTTAGTTTGAGACATTTCAGCCAAATGTCACGTTTTAGGACAGACCGGACGAATAAGATCATGGTAGAGGAGAGGCAAACTGATAAGTTAAAACCAATCTTGTCAAAGTTAGCAAATCAGTGAATACATTATGGCTGACTTTAAGACAAGTTGAAGTTTACCTAAGGTACGTACTACTGGCTACTGTGCCGGACGTGTACATGTTTATTCCGTGATTGGCCAGGATCAGGGGTTATATCTTACCAGGGTGCTATATATAGCGGCGGCATAACAGGTACCTATGTAATAGGTAAAATTCCATTCGCTCTCTTTGTTCTGAAACAGCAGTCTCCTTCTCGCCGCCTGGATCTTCCCGGATTCAGAACAGACGGCGCCACGCGGGTTAGCTCACCAGTTAGCACCGAATACGACCAGGAGAGAAAGGAGCTTGAAGTGGGGGGTTGGACGAAACAGCGGAAACCTCGTATTCTCAACAGAAAGCGACGTCACCATGATCACAGTATGGGTTTTCGACTCAGCCTACGCAGCGCCAAGATAATCTCGATCGTACGAAAGTATGGTTAGTGCATACAACGAACAATTGACTGTTATTCAAAACCTACAAGCCTTTATCAAGACTATAAGCCTAAAATAATTTATACTTGGAGGCTAGTATATAATTTAATACGTACTGAGGAGTTTTTGTATGCAAAGATGAAATCCTTTGCCTCAAGTCAAGCTCGATATGAATCTACTCAGTCGCCTCCTTACATCGTACAGTGTGTCAGATATATTTTCGCTACAGTATGTCTCCACCAGTTTTCGAGGATTAAGCCATCAGCCACGATATCTTACATTAGGGTACATTTATACATTCATACATACGTACATACACTACATAACAAACGTACATAATGTTATCGGCGCTCGCAGCGCCGGGTCAAACCATCTCCATTGATTAAAGAACAAATCATAACGACCCTGTTTTTGCCTTCCTTGTTTCCACAGCATCCGGTAAATCGGTACACGTCAAAGCCACGCTATCCAGGGATCATATACGAACTTGTGCACTTTGGATAGGCTACTTGCTTTCGGTCTTTAGGTTTTGGGTCTTCACCTCTCTCTCGGAAATATCGTTGACCCCTTCTGCCAGCTTTGCTTCTCTTTTGTGCAACTCTAGAACCCCGTAGAGCTGCGTACCGAGTACCGTATTTTTTTGCAGTAGTCGTCGCCCCAAAATCTTGCCGCCCACTGCCCAAGCGTTTTTCTGCAATAGTCTGCATTTGCATTAGCTCTCTCGCTTCTCGGAAACTAATCCAGTCGGCTTACCATAAAAACGGTCGTACCAATCAACAACATCATTATTTTTCTCAATATGACCTCTCTCTCCGAAAAGGGTCTCCTGGGTGAACAGCAGTCAACTTATACACCAACCCAACCTAAACGCTGTATTCGACATCGTGTGGTGGAAAAGATGCCTTCGCCCCGCCACTTCTTCCTCACTCTATTCCTAGGCCTGCTTGTCACGGCTGGCTTAGCTAGTGCCGTCTTGCACCAAAAGCCTTCCGGCGAGGATAAGGCCGAAATCGAGACTGAGCATGTTGTTCTCCGTGACGACTCGACTTTCTCGCGGTTGTTGAGCTCGGCTTCTCCCCGTGCTATCCACGAGTTTCTCCATGCTTACTTCCCTGGCACCTACAAGCATGGTGTCTATGACTCTGACCACTCGGCCATGGAAGCAATCCACGCGAGTGACCCGGAATTAGCGACATCCATTGTCCAGCTCGCAAAGAGACAATCTGGAAACGAGACGATCACCACGACTGCTACGTCCGTGGAGTCTAGCTCTACAGCCCCTACGAGTGAAAGTGAAAGCGAAAGCACCACGACGGAAGAACAAACCTCTACTTCCACTTCTGTAGATACGCCTACGACGACGACTTCGGATTCGACTACGGAGCCGACCTCGGATGTGCCAACGACTACTACGTCTGACGTGCCTACCACAACAACAACATCAACCACCGATGAGCCAACAACGGCATCATCACCCACCTCGGAGTCTTCCGCTGAGACGACGAGCACTCCTGGTACGTTTACTAATTCATAGTGTCTGCTATAAGCGTGAGTATATTAGACTAACAGTGTATAGACACGACCTTGACAACAGCCACAAGCGCATCTACTCCTAGCACTACAAGGCCACCTAGAACATCTACGTTCACATCAACGCTTCCCGGAGGCGCTAAGGTACGTCTTACTTCTTATCCGTACTACTCTTACTTTCACCTTTGATATACCTCCAGCGATGTAGCAACATACGCCCAGGTTATATCTTAAGCACCGAGTAGTCTTGTAGTCATCTCAAAAGAGAGCAAATCACTAACTCGTTAACTCTATAGACAACAATCACATCCGTTGAGGTGGTCACTCCAGGTGCACCCGAAGAAGCAAGCCAGACCTCAGAAGCCGAGGGAAGCCTGCAATCCGGCCCTGCCATGCTGCCTGCCAGGCGGCCGGTAGTAGAAGTCATCATCGGCGCCGTGGTCGGCGGAGCACTCCTCGCATAAGCTCCACCGTGATCCGAATCATCACATTCCTTCCTTTCATCTCATATTGAAATCTGGCGTTAGCAACAGCATCATTATCATCATCTGAGCGAAGCATATCTGGTACCGGCGCCGGCATCTGCATACATGGAAACTTGACGGCATCTACATTCATTTAGAACCTGGAGGCAAAGGGAAAAAAAGAGAGAAACATTTGGCATAGAAAAAGGGTCGGCTCAGAGCTCGCAAAGTCTGGCAGCTGTTGACGAATATCACGAGATTGTCTACAGATTAATTTATTAATTTTGGGATCTTTGAATCTTTATTGGGATACGCAAATATGTATGTAAATATGTATGTATGTATGTATTGTATGTACACAGGAGGTCAAAGGAGGATACCTAATAATCCGACTCATAACAGAGATATTCTATACAATAATAGTAACAGTCATTTCGTGAAGTCGTTCCGTGAAATATTAAATCAAGTACTGGGTAAACTAGTAGCGAGGCTCGAGCGAGGTTGTTATTAAGTTAGGTAGGGTAAACGTCAGGGTAGACGGTCCGAAAGGTGTAGCTTATCCTGGGCCGATCTTAGGCATGTCGTGGTGCTCGCTAAGCTTGGAGAGATAGGTATTCAGGCCTTCTACTCTCTCTTTGTGCGTCTTTCGAAACTCGGAAGCTACCTTTGGATCTTCGAGCATCTTCAACATCTAGTGACGAAATCAGTATCAGTATTAAGTCGTCGCTTATCGTTTGTCGTTTGTCGTAGATGTGAACAAAACATACCTTTTTTCTATTAGCTTCCTCATACCGGCGCTCGGCCTCGGTCTTCTGTTCGACTACGTCACCCTCGCCGCCGTCATCCGCATCTTTGCTATCGCGCTGTCCGGGATCCTCGACATCCTTGGGCTTAGAGGTGGAGGTGGAGCTATCTCCCGGAGTGAAGGATCGCTCGAGGGTTGGAGCCTTGGTCTTCTTCTTTTTCTTATTCTTCTGTATCTTCCCACCTTTCAGCTTGAGGGCGCCAGCTCCGGCTGCCGACACGTAGTCATCTGCTGGCATTTTTGGTATGTATAGAATAGATGCAAGTTTATTGGTTATGTTGGAGGAGACATGAATTGGTTTGGTTGATGCAGAATGAGCCGCGAGACAAGCCCCACATATTTCTTTAATCCATAAAATCGTTATTCAATAAGGTTGTAATCGAGATAATCCGTAATTGGATATATTATGCTACTAAACCTCAAGATTCATATGCAGAGGCAACGCTACTAATTGGCCCCACCTAGATACCCACCTAGATACACCAATAAATAAAAACTTCGCAGTCCGAAAATTTGCTTTCGTTTTTTCTCTTTTTCTTCCTTAGATCAAAAAGTATTCACAGAGTAGCCACGACCGTCATTTCGATATTCACAGTGACGAGTTGCCATTCTCAACCTTGAGAAGTCACTCTGGAGATTAAACTCCTTATTAGGAAGTCTCCCGAACGTCTTCGGACTGTGTGCGGGAGATGTCGAAAAAACGAGGGAACATGCAATGCACTTGATAGCATTCCGGGCTTACGTGCCAATCGCGACGTAGATGATCATTATGTATTGAGCGCCTTAATTCTTGCTGTTGACTTTGTACGTAGGTGACTTAAAATGAGCGACATGAGCGACTCGAGCGAGCATGGCAAGTCTCAACCGAATGTCTCAACGTCGCCTATCCATCTACCATGTTCCTATCAGCCAGGGCTGTGATTGAGTAGAGAGGAATGCCTTGCAATTCTGAGCCATTCTTCCATCTGTAGATCAATCAGTCTTGATAGTAATTACAATCTTGGTATGGTTCTAAAGACAAAACATGCCTACTACTCAACCCGCGTGTAAGTTCGCGATGCTAGCTACGGTCATTGCCTATAAAAATGATCAAGTATCCTGTCTATCAGGAAGTCTTTTGGAAGCATCATCAGCATCATCAGTCATTCATTCACTAGAGTCACTCTTTACTACTCACTCACAGTCATTCATTACCTGCCACCTTGGCTACCACATTCATTTCACACCAACTATAACCACACTCGTTCATCTAGACAACAGTCGAATAATCACAGCTAACCGCCAAGATGCATTACTTCAACGTTACCAACACTGCCAAGTTCCTGTCTTGCACTTCGACTGCATTGACCCCCGTCTTGACTCCAGTCACCAAGACTACCCTGTCGCCTGTGACCCAAACCCGCTACACGACCGTCTACGAGACTGTCATGCCGGCAGCTTGCGAGACAGGCCGGTGGATGGCTACTTACACCGTCACTGAGACCTGCACTGGCAAGCCTAGCGACTATGTCCCCTCAGTTATCCCTCCGGGATTCGTCGTAACCACTGTGTCTTGCCCCGTCTGCCACCCTGCTACGGCCATCGAGATCACTTGCCCGGGTGTTCAGCCCACCGGGTATCCCACTGTCGGCATTACTGGCAACGGTGTTACTGCTACCATCACCGCTACACCGGCTGGTTACCCTATGGGCAACCCGGGTGCTTACCCGACCAAAGTTCCCGCTCATCCTATACCTGCTCATCCCATGCCTGCTGGCCCCGGGTCATGCTCTGGTCCTGGATGCCCTGCCCCAGCCGGCCCAGGTTCTATGCCATGCTCTGGTCCTGGGCCTTGCCCCGGCACCGGTCCCAAGCCAGTCCCAGTCCCAGTCCCATGTGCTGGCCCCGGCTGCCCAGACTCAAACCCAATGCCATGCTCTGGACCCGAGTGTCCTCACCCAGGCTCAGAATATACTCCTGGCGGCAACCCCGGCTCTACTCCATGCCACGGTTCCGAATGCTCAAGCACTGGCTCCGGCCCCGTTCCTTGCTCTGGTCCTGGATGCCCTGCCCCAGCCGGCCCAGGCTCTATGCCATGCTCTGGTCCTGGGCCTTGCCCCGGCACCGGTCCCAAGCCTGTCCCCGTTCCTTGTGCTGGCCCCGGGTGCCCCAGCTCCAACCCCAAGCCCATCATCTCATGCGCCGGACCCAGCTGCCCCGGCTCAGGTAACAACGGCACCACCAGCACTCCTCCCTACATCGTCTCCGGCGCATCGTCGCTCAAAAACGCTTTCGCCGTCGTCACAGGGCTTGTTTTCGTGGCCGGACATTTCATCCTCTTGTAATTCGTTCATGTTGTTCTATGATCTGTGGACGTCGGGATAAAATTTGGGCTTATATTTTTTTTGGATATGGTTTACGGGTGATGGTTTACGGCTCGGGTATTTCTTCATCTGCTGTTACTTTTGGGTTCGTCATATAACTTCGGGGTAGTTTCAGGGTAAATCTAGGGGTTCGTGACAATTACTGGTTTAGTCTATTCGGTGTTTCTAGCAATTCATTATAGTTGAACCGTTCCTGACAATCCTTTGTTTGTGATTGCCATTCTAGTGAATCGGATGTGCTTGTAATATACTCGGCAATCTCGTTCATTTTATGGACCTCGCTTTCCTGCTGTATGATCCTTGTTAGTAGCCTTAGTAGCCTCTACAATAAACTCTTAACTCACAACTGGCCTTCTAGGATACTAGGAACGCAAGTGATTATAGAATATCTTGAAGGGTGTTTATTGAGTCTGCGTATGTGGTTTGTCGGGTTTGTCTATCTACGACTCGAACTATCTCTTTGTGTTAACCACCTTAGCCTAAGTGTATCTAGTGTTGAGAGCATTGACTTGGTAGGCTCTTCAGATTCAAACAAAGCGTCTGATTGCTCACCTATTATAGCCATCTTAATTATACTAGTTACGCAGACGTGACACGCAACACGGGTCTCAAGTTCCTAACCTTCGTTTCTTATATAACCATGCGCCGGTTTGCATTGGAATTACCAAAATTCATAAAAAATACAAATGTGCCCAACCATGTCAATTCCGGGCCATTTACTACCAACAATGGATAACCTAAACGATCTTTTGGAAGAGCATATCTGCCGAAGAAACCGAGTATTTTACGCCTTCGGTATTAGCGTGGGGGAGTACGAAAATAGCACTTCACGAGCGTGGACGGTCGTATCACTCTACATACACGGTACAGTAGATAAAGTTGGTGCCGCTCAAGCGCTCAGAAATCTCGAGTATGATATCAATAGCAAGCTCCGGCTAGACCAGCGACCAGAAAGACTGGAGTTTTACCTCGAGGATGACTCTCCTAGCAACACCTACCGGGCGAGATCTCGCAGGGTAGAGGGCACGCTCTGCGCCAGAGATGCTGCCCGGCAGATGGGAGTGGTGGAGCCTACGGACGGCGAAAGGACGCACCCAGGAACACCTCGGCAGGATATAGTAGAAGCGACGAGGCACGTTGTCGAAGTTGAGCTGTAGAAGCCAGAGGGGCTGGAACTGAGAGGCTGGAGATTAGCGATTGACGATTGGCGATTAGTGGTATATACATAAGCGTATTCAATTATCTGTTAGCCGCCTACTCTATTAGGAAGGCCGTCTACTACCACGTGCGATATTCAGTTGCTTCCAATTGCTCGGGCTGTACGGTGGTGATAAGAGGCGTTCGTAGTGTCATTGTAGTGTCATGGTAGTGTAATCTCGGTGAATTCCGTAACGTAGTAGTGCATCTATGGCCTGTATCCTCCCCTGCATTTACCGTACACTATCTACCTGTGCATGCATCTAAGTAAGCCGGCAAGCGTACCGTAATCCAAATTGTATTTAAATCCCCATGTCTTATCCGACTCTTCGGGATATACCTAAGATCTTGCTTGGCTGTTCTATTCTTGATCGCCAAGAAAGAACTCGACACACCCTTTAATAGTTGCACTGCCGACTTTCCAAGATGCGTCCCGTCAACTCGGCTGCTGTACTAGGGGTCCTGGGTCTCATCCGTAATGCTGTGGCATGCTCCGGTTGTTCGGGCTCGGTGGGTCACGTCGTCGAGCACGTCCGACATGTGAAGCGCATGCAGCCCGATGCGATAAATGCTACCTACGGACCCACGAGGGCTTTGGAGGTGAGTATTTTGCAGTTGCTTATAGTAGAAACAATTAAAAACAAAAACACGAAATGCTGATTCGAGATGCTCTAGTGGGGCCAACTGAACTTCCTACATACCGTGAGTGCATCTTGGATGCTTAATGAGCTAGAAAGCAGCATTGCTAATGGTCAATGTATAAGACCGATACCCACGGATGGTTAGAGGTACGTAACATTCTCAACTCCCTGGACACCCTTAGTAGCGGCTAATGCTTTAACAGGGTCACCTTAAAGAAGCCAACTATGGCGCCGATTGGGGCGACTTCGCCTCCTTCTCGACTCGCTTCAAGCAGCAAGCCGGCGACATGGGTGTTGATCTACTTTTAGTAGACACCGGTTAGTTAACCTCGACGTCTTGCCGATTCGTAGTATGCTTATGTGGCGTCTAGGTGATCTACATGATGGCGCCGGGTTGAGTGACGCTACCACGCCCGACGGCGAGGTTTCGATGAAGATATTCGACAAGGCCCAGTATGACTTGCTAACTATTGGTAACCACGAGTTATATCTTGCCGACGTTGCCTACCAGGCTCTGGACGAGATATCGACGTATTGGGGCGAGAAGTATCTCACGTCCAACGTTCAGATACTCAACCGGCAGACGAAGGAGTGGCAGTATATCGGCAACACGCACCGATACTTCGCTACTAAGCATGGGCTTCGAATCATGGCCTTTGGCGTGTTATTCGACTTTACTAGTGAGAAGACGCCACGATAATATGTGCCCTAGCTGTCGCGAAACATGGTCCTAACATCTGGCAGGTAACACGAATGTCTCTAAAGTCATCCCTGCGAAGACCATGATTACACAGAAGTGGTTTCTAGATGCCCTTCATTGCCCGGAGCCCGTGGATATCTTCATCGTTCTGGGCCACAACCCTGCCCGACCGACTGATAAAACGAGCACTTTTCCTATCGTCTTTGACGCGATTCGTACTGTGCACCCGGATACCCCTATTCAGTTTATCGGTTTGTATTGTATCCAAGGGGAGGTATATTCGTGGCTAACATCATATAGGAGGCCATAGCCATATTCGGGATTTTGCTGTCTTCGATAGTAGTAGCACGGCGCTTGAGTCAGGTAGGTGAAACATGCCTATTCTTGACCAAACTCTCATACCTCACCTAGGCCGATATTGCGAAACACTCGGTTGGCTCTCGATGTCGGGATTTAATAGTAAAGATAGTGGCCCTGCTGGTGTCCCTAACCCAACTCGCAAAGCAACGCAGAATTCTACTTCTCCGTTCGTATACTCCCGTCGCTACCTTGATTGGAATCGTCGAACCTTTGAGTACCATGCTGCGACGTTGTATAATAAAAGCCTCGACTATCATAGCGGCTTGGCCGTTACAGAGGATATTACAAAGGACAGGAAGCAGCTTAACCTCACCGATGTGTATGGATGTGTTCCCCAGGTCAGTCGCCACCGATCCCCGTCCCCCTGACATCCAATGCCAGAAACTGTTTGTTCTCGTGAGGCGCGAATTCAGAATCGTTGGCCCCTATTTATACATAGGATTACATGAAACGCATATCGACTAACCTTCTCACATGATTAGGACTATTGCATGACGTGCGTACCATTCAATGCCTCGGGCAATATCTTTCCTCTGCTGTCTGACGCGTTAGCCGGGGGTGTCGTGAACGAATCGCGTAAAGATATACCGCGATATATCATTGCCAATACGGGAAGCGTTCGGTTCGACATGTACAAGGGGCCTTTCACTTATGACGATCAGTTCATCGTCTCGCCGTTCCGTGACATTTTCTTGTACATCCCAGAAGTGCCCTACGCCCTGGCCAGAAACTTAACCGAGTCACTCAACAATGCTGGTGCCAGTCGGAAGCGTAACGTTGGTATCGTGCCTGTTGAACGCGACATCTGCGTCGACCCTGTCCTTGTTCACTTCACCGAACTTGGGAGCGAAGAGCGTCGTGCATTCAATCACGAATCTCCTAGGATTACGAGGCGTCAAGTCGTCGACTTGACTGCCGGCTATACGACTAAGGATGACTTTGGCACTGATGGCGACGACACGGCGCATTCCGAAATTCCGCACTACGAAATCCCCGATTTTTTCCAAGGCGTAGCTGGATTTAGTGACAATCAGACGGCAGATATTGTTGATGTCGTGTTTGTTGATTTGTAAGTATCCACACAGTTATATGATCTGGGTTGAAAGGTTTAGTTTAGACTGACTCCTGTTGCACAGCATCGAGAGTGATCTTCTTGCTATCCTCGGCTCCAACTATAGCTCTAGCGATGTCTCGTATTACATCGATGCGAACTTCACGACGCAAGATTACTTGCCGTTGTATATCCAGCAGACGAAGGCTTTCCAAACCGGGCTGCCTAATTGTAGGTAGTTGATGAGGGCTACCTTAGCAGTTAACGACGTTTATCTTAATGCGATGCTGTTTAATTGATACGCCTGAAGGTAGAAATGATGTTGATTGTGTAAGATTAGGCAAAGCTCGGTAATTTCCTAATATCCCACTATCTAGTTCCGTAACACCGTAACACCTTCTCGCAGTATCAAAGGTAGTTGCACTTACCCAACAAGCTACATGTAATCAGGGGTAGTAGTTTACCAAAATGCAACATAGTATACACGCCATGTACGTCAATTCCCTTAGCTTGAGCTTAAATTCGCGCTAGTAATAGCCAATGGACCCCTCCTACCCCACGATACTCCAAGAGGTATTTACATTATCTATATTTTATCTCTCCATCGCCTTTTCAACCCACCATCCCATACCATCCCATCGCACCCGTGGGAATGGCCCCGATTCCCATAACCATCATAACAGGCTTCCTGGGGTCGGGCAAGACAACCCTCCTGCTGAACCTAATCCCCCAGCTCCGCACCGCCAACCCCGCCTACCGCCTCGCCCTACTAAAAAACGAATTCGGCGACGTAGCCATCGACTCGCAGCTAGCATCCTCGAGCGCCGTCTCCGGCGTCCAGGAGTTGTTGAACGGGTGTATTTGCTGCAACCTCGTCGGACAATTAAGCACCGCGCTCGCCGAGCTGCGCGACACAGTCCACCCCGACCGCATCGTCATCGAGACTTCCGGGTCCGCGTTCCCGGCTACGCTTGCTATTGAGGTGAATCGGCTAGCGCGCGAGACGGGGGGTCAGTATGTGCTTGATGGCGTGGTTAGCGTGATTGATGTTGAGAATTGGGGCGGATATGAGGATACTAGTTATACGGCGCGCATACAGGCGCGGTATACAGATCTGATTGTCTTTAATAAGTGGGAGACGTGCGATGAGCGCAGGTTTGACGAGTGTCGCGATCGGGTGGGTGATCTTGAGGTCGATGTTGCGTGGGTGAAGAGCGATAAGGGTCGGGTTCCTGTTGATGTCATATTTGGTATTGATGGTGGATTGGCGAGGACACTGACGGAAGAGCCGGCGGCGAAGGATAGCGATCATTCACATAATCACGACAAAGACCACGACGATGGCCATAGTCACCAGAGCGAGGTCGAGGTCTTGTCAGTCACCCTCTCCGGGAAGACAGGCAGCGCCGTCAATGCGACAAAGCTAATGGCTTTATTGAACTCGGCGCCCAAGGACGAAGTATATCGGATCAAGTCTGTATTAACAGCATCCTCGACAGTCCGGAGCTCCGGTGAAGACGAGCCCACAGCATCGACAACACCGTCGGATCATCTAGGCAGGTATATTTTGAACTGGGCCTTTGGGAGGTGGACATTTACAGCGCTCGAGCCGGAAACGGTTGAGCACAGCTCCAGCCATCAGACTATACTACGTATGACAGTAATTTTAGCAAGGTACGAGAGCGCGAAGTGGAAGAAGAAATTAGAGACAGGCGGGTTTTTAGAGCTCGAGGGTGACGAAAAGGGCGAGTTAGAAGTTATTAGGATCTCTTGAGACCTAGCAGTCCTGCTCTTCTGATAATTAGACTTAGAGTAGACTATAGTAAGATAATTAATACACGGCCAATGCATCATAGGACGTACTGCCTACACTACTACGAGGCTGGAAAAGTATAAAATATAACCTAAGAATGTGCCTGTAATCCGGCACTTATATAATTGCGGCTAGCCTCATATAGAATGAAGACTACATATGTAGCTAACAATTCTCGGTATCATAACAGCATCATCCCTATTTCATGAATACCACATAGGTGACAACCCACTTCGCTTGTCGCCTCCCCGCTGTGCCGACTTAACTACCAGCTCCGGAATCTTGATATCTGCTACTAAAAAGCTCAATTGTGTACACACTTTGCCGACACCGAAATCGACAAACAGCTATTATCATCCTGGTGACCTAGGAAAAAGATTTCTTTTTCCATTTTGTTTGCCGATTAATTTTCAACCTAACGCCACAAGTCTCGGTCTCCCTTCTTCTTTCCGTGGCTACTGCCGGGCCGAGGCCATGCGTCGTCTCTGAGGCTGCTCGAGCTTGCAGTACTTCTACTACGTCCATGACCGCCCGGCACAGCCAAATAGCTTGCAGGGCTGGTTGCTTGAGAAAGCGAGCCCTTTCGAGATCCACCGGCTTGCCACCCAGAACCTATATCCGCAAGGCCGTAGCTACTCAGGGGCCGGCCACTGAGGGAGCCATTGCTGCGGTGGCCCTTGCGCCCGTTACCCCCGCCGCTATAGGCATCGAAGGGGTCCACTGAAAGCAAATAGTTAGCATTTGCAAATTATGGAAGCGTTCTTGTGACGATGAGGTTTAAATAGTATTAACTTGTAGAAAGGACTAGGATAGCTAATTCGCGATTTGAGGGGATTCATAAAATTAATCAGATGCTTACTTCTAATACTTCCCCAATCAAGGTCATCTTCTCCTTTCGTAAAAACTTCCAGCGGCTGATTGAGCTGCTGCGCCCCAAACTGTGATGGGTTGAGTGCTGCGGCAAAGGGGTTATTGGAGCTGAAGCGTGGGGGTACGTTTCCAAAACCTCCTGTCAGTCCTGGCGAGGGGAGACCATTTCCCATGTTGAACATCTTGGCGCTGCTTGAGCTGCTGGGACGTTGCTGTCCTCCCGCAAAGCCGGGCATGGGCGGCGGAAGGCCAAGGAGGAGGTCCGCGAAGTTTTGATCGCGAACGTACACGGCGGAGAGACGTGGTAAACCTCCGGCGAAAAGGGAGGAAGCTAGGTAGTTATAATAACCGCTCGTGACACCCACGTAGGCAGGAGTAGCTGACGACGCCGTGATCTCATAGCGCAGGGTTTGCAAGGACCAATTGACTAGGGGAGGGATGGGCCCAGAGTGAGATGGAAACGCTGAATCTACCTGATCAATAACAGAGAGCGCCGTCAGGTTTGGAGCATGCGCTAGCACGGCGTGAAGGCTAGGGGCTTGAACACCGGTGTTGGATAGAGACAACACCTTTAGTTGCCTCTGTGTGTCCTCCCTAGACAAATACGCCACAAGGCCGTCGGAAGTGACTCTCGGTGTATCTATCAAGATCACTTCTTCCAAAGCTGGAAAGGCCGGTAGCACGTCGTTGTACTTAAACATGTCGTCATCTATAATCCTGCAATCAGACACCTTTAGAGCTCGCAGGCGCTGAAGCACCGCCAGTACGTGGCGCAACGCTGCCGGATCCATGTTGATCCTAGTCAACTCCAACACTTCGAGGTTCTGCCAGAAAGTACCTGTGCTCAGCGCCTCCAAACTTCGCTCGCTACCGCCAGTATAGGCCATCTTCCTGAGGTCGGGACAGCGGGCCTGTACCTCGAGCTTGAGAGTATGGTAAGCCGGATCGTCGCAGTACAACCCCTCGGGCAAGTCGACGTAGCGGAGGTTGGGCAAGACGGCAATGGTCCTCGCCAACGCGGAGCTACTCGATTCTCGCAGCATATAAGGCGTCTTGAAGTATTGAACGAGCTTGCCAAGGCGGGTTGGGTCTTCGCGTAGGGAGCGACACAGCAATTGAAGCCGAGCGCTGGCGGTATCCTCGGGGAGGCCATTGCGATCGAAACGACTCCTACGTTTCCGCTTCTCGGAGAGGTCGATCTCACGTTCGCAGTAATGCACGGAATCGATACGGATACTATGGTACCTACCACAGCGAAAGCCCGCGAGTCTCAGCAACGAACTTATCCAAACTTATCTTCTCAATTACCAAAGGCATTTTGCCTAGGGAGAACTTACATCGACTTGACGGCCGCTACCCTCCAGCGCTTGCATACTTGGCCGGCGTGGGAGAGATCACGCAGGTCGCAAAGCATGCAGGCATCTTCCAAGGCGCTTTGTTCGCATGTCTCATATGACTCGTCGCAACAATGCGGGCAGACGAAAGAGAATACCCTCTCCAATATGGGAGGAGGCAGCTCTAGCCATGGCGCGAATACGCGACCCCTCTGAGAGTCCAGGCTGGCATAATTGTTCTGGTAGTTGTTCTGGTAATTGTTCTGGTAATTGTTCTGGCGGGGGTTGTATAAGTTGTACTCATCTCTCCTATAGTCGTCACGAGTAGGGATATTAGGTGGCTGAAGCTGTTGCGACGGCTTCTTGCTACGTCGAAAGAACTTCTTGAACTTCATCGCGAAGCCAGGCCAGGGTTAAATGATATGGATGTTCGCAAGGGAAAGCCTCGCTGCTTGATTTTGTTAGAGTTCAATTAAGAAGACACCTAAAGACATACATACGTTTGTTTCACATACTCGGACCACATGTGTTCCTCCTGCGAGAAGGCTGCTTGCGTGCATTGGACGGTTGTAGGAAAAGAGAACGTACACGGCAATGGCAACAGTTGGCTTACAATGAATGCATCTCGAGGCTCGCGACGCTTTGTTTAAAAGCGAGAGAGTGGGGAATTAAAGGGCGGCGTTAATTGCTGGGGTATGGGTACCTCAGATACTTCAGGTACCTGCATCCGAAGGTACATATTCAACTATCCGACATTCTCTATCTCAAATGATCTGCCCGAGATACATGTACTTTGACAGATACCTGCATGTAGGTACCTGGGTGTCGGACCCACTAGCGTAGTGGTACTTCATAGTCCTCTATAAATTTATGAATACCCGCCTGTACCTAGGTACCTAATGCATACATAACACACGTCCCATCAATATATACACATGAGACAGAAAAAAAAAAAAAAAAAGGCAAACTTAAGAGAAACCTCAAACGTTAAAAATAGTGTTACATTATATAAACAGGGATAATATAGAATTTTTACTAACTGCCAGCTAATGCGGTACTATGCAATCACTATAAAACAACATCCAATGGTTACCTTCTGTTGCCGGGTCCTCCAACCAAAGGATATATACATATGCACCCGCCAATGATCTTCCCTCCCGCTACACCGACCGCAGCCCAACCACAACCTAATACCTCATACTAGCTTGTCAAAATCTCCCGGAAACGCGCGCTTCTTATCCCCGGCATCCAATGCTCGCCAATCCCTAGTGGTTCCCGTTGAGCTGGAGAGGCGATGCTGATCCAGATATGTTCGACTTCTTCGTTCGGAGCGTCAATGGGAACGGGTACTCGTCTGGGTCTTCCTCCTCCCTGCATCATCATCACCGGTTAGCTACAATATTTCAGCTCGCATGTTCTCGGCTTGCTTACGGTAATTTCCATGCCACATAGTCTTCCGTACTTAAGCCTTCCCTTCCTTCTTGCAGGCTCGCGAAATCACCAGGCGTCATCATGCCCGTACGGTCCCGGGGAGAGCCGGGGACCGAGAAGGGTCGTGAGATCTTCTGTTCAACTCCGGGGATGAAGTCATCCTCATCGTCGCCGGAAAATGATCCTGGGTACGCTCGTCGCAGGGCTAACTGCCGGGCTTTGACATATTCCATTCCCATCCTCTTCCAATCTAGGAGGTCGCTAAGTCTCTCGGTTCGGTTGCGCTGGTTGATCCGTTGTCGCCGGCTTTTTTGGCAGAAATCGAACATGTGTGAGGCAAGCTGATTAACCGAGTCGTCAACACCTTTGTTGCGTCGGTCCACAATGTAGATACCATAGTCGGCCGAGTTCTCAATCAACTCCTCCATATAGCAGCCAAAGCCAGATAGGTTAGTGGTGATACTGGGAACACCCATAACAGTACACTCGGCAGGAGTATAGCCCCACGGTTCGTAGTAAGAAGCGAAAACACCCAGATTCGTGCCGCGCACGAAGTCATCGTAATCTAGAGGCAGGATCGGATTCGACGAATTTAGGAACTCAGGATGGAAAATAATCTTAACGCGATCTGTCGGATGGTTAAAAAGTTGGACCCGTCGAATCTGGTTCAGAATAGGGTCTTCTGAATCGTTGATCATATTGTGTGTGACGATGGGTGGTAGGCCGTGCCGTCTCATAGCAAAGAGACGGCGCCGGAGGACAACCCTGTCGGCGCTTGTGATAAGCTCTTTCTCATCAGGCATCGGATCTCCGTCATGCCACCTTAAAGACCGTTCGAAGACACGACGACCGATCCCGCGCTCGATCACATCGACAGTGTCGCGAAGGGACTTGATGACTGCCTGACCCTTCAGTGCTTCTACTGTCAGCGAGGTAGTTTGCGCAGGCATGATTATAAATGCTACGACAGTTGTCTTGCTACCGGAGGACTTTAGTCGGTGGTTAAGACGCGCAAGCGACTCAATGAACATGTCGACACCCTTATTTCGGAACTCGTAACGTCCGGCAGTGAAGAAATAGAGGGTATCTTCCGGCACGAAGTCATAATGACCATAGAAGTGACCCCGGACAAAGTCGTGGATCTTCTCCTTGGACTGTTGGTGCAAGTTCTGGAACTCATGTATGGCCGAGAATTTGGTGACGTTAAGTCCGTTGGGCAGCACACCATCCGGCTTACGTTTGAGCAAATGTTCGCTCTCGAAAGCCGTGATGTGCGAGACAGTGGTAAAGACGTCGCAAGAGTGTGCAGCAGCGCGTTCTATGCAGTAACGGTGATAGATACCACGCTTCCCGGCTTCCGCATCGACGTCAAACCACTGCAGATTATTATAAAAGTCGACAGAACCAGCACAAAGAT